CCTTGAAACTATTGAGCTTAATTTTATTTCTCTTTACAAGGAGCATTGGCACTTACTTCACTGAGAAACAAGACTCATATTATTGTAAATAGAATTTTGTGGGGTTTTTTTCTGAATCCCATTTTCCTCTGCTGATCTCATACTCTTACCTCATTAATCTCTTTAGCAAACAAAAGCACTCTACACCAAGCTACCCTTGCCAAAACAAAGGGACTTACTATGTTTCTTCTACCTGTCCCTAACATAGGAATCTCTACCTGAATGTCGAGACATAATCTACATGGTCACAACCTACACGTTTGAGACAATTTCTACCCTCACAGCTCCAATGGGAAAGAACAGAGCACTTGTACACAAGCCTGCGCAGACATCTGATTCTTCACAGTGTATGTATACACTAACAGAATGAATATTTTAGAGATATTTTTAGCTGATAAACGCCACTGGACTGTGATAAAATATCCTTTCCGGAAGGACATTCTGGACTTGCATTACTTCCTCAACAAGTTTGCTATGGAGTGACTGAGTTGTTAATATATCCACATATAGATACTTTTCTTAGGAGACTACTGATAAGCAAATATCCAATAGGTCGGCCCTTCCGCGCTGTGCAGAGCCGGGCTGGCTCGTGTGTGGCTCTGCCGGCGCCGTCCCCCCGCGTTAGCGGGAGCTCCTGGGGCCGGAGCAGCTGGGGCTTTTAGGGGGCGGTTGAGTCCAAGGCTAAAATAAAATAATAATAATCAAAAAGAACCTGTGCAGGATCCGCCTTGCATACGACATCCACTTTGCATGAGAAAGGTGAAGCTGACACGGTGATTACTTTCCAATCACTCGGAACGCCTTGAAACCTCCTTAAGGACCCCTACAGGTTTTCCTTGATCAGCACAGATTAGAAAAAGCCCCATTTGTTTCTCTCTCCTTCTGTCTTTCCTTCCTTTCTCCTTTCCCTCCCGTTGCTCTCCCTTGAAAGTTTAACAAGATCTTTTCTGTAGAAGGCGTCAGCCCTCCCTCCCTCCCTCAGGTAGGAGCAGGGAGAGCGGGTGCCTCAGACTTCGTGGCTCCTAATCAGAGGCTGAAGGTGGTGCCTCCCTGCCTGCCTTTATTGGAGGGGGGGCAATGCTTTAGCAGGGAGGATGTAGGGAGGAGGATGCATTTTATGGCGAGTGCTATAAACTCTTCGCTGCCAGGGTCATAAAATATGGTTGCTTTCAGCTTGGAATCTCAGCTGTTTTCAAATGTCGTGCTTTGTCTCGAATTCCTAAATGAACAGGACAAGCAGAATTGCTGAAAAAGTACCTGATTATGGTTTTAATCACAGTATGGCATCACTCGAAAAGTAGCTTGATTTTTTTTTTTTTTTCCTTAAATACGAAACCCTAAGATGATTAGAGACATACCCTTGGGAAAGTTACTTCAGTATAGAAAAGGTACTTACAGATTTTGGAGACGGAGATCGTTCTAAAGTGAGTTATGTTTACTTTTTAAGTTAAGATTTGAGATTTATTTTGCGTATTGGTCTATCAGAGCTAGAAGGAGGAAGTTAAATCCCAAGCCAAACTAGAAGTCACAATTTTACATACCAAAAAGGAGGACTGTGATCAGAAGTCAGAAGATTAGCTCCTTAGCTCTACTTCCCCCCCCCCTCCTTTGAGCTTAGTTTTAGCGAACATATTAATGAAGAAGGAAAATCTCTCTCTCCATTCATGCTCGCCCACACAAACCGGGCTCCTCTCCATTAGTGCCTGTTTCTTATCGAAATGAACACGGATTCTCCTGGAAACTACCAAATCCCGCAGGGTCAGAGTTAATACCCCACCAGGCTCTAGAAAGGAAACTGTTGGCTTCCTCAATTGTGATAAGGGTGAAATGGATCCAAGCAAGGACAACAATCCAGGGCTAATGTTTGTCTTTGAAAACCCTGAAGATATGGCTAGTTTTTGCCTAGAAGTAAAAGCCATCATAAAAATGTTTTAAAACAGTAGTCCTTGTTGTGGCTTTTCAGTGAACTGAGATTATACTTATAAAGTATTGGTTTTAGGGGCTGACCTTTCCTTGGGCACTTTTAGATTCCTTAGGGCATGTTACAAAAGAAAGCAGTGTTATGTGCAAAAAAAAAGCTTTATTTATTTTAGTGTGTCTGTGTGTATGTATGTGTGTGAGAGTGTGTGTTGGGGCATTTCCATTCTTCATTAATCTAAGCCTGTTTTCTTAGTATTTGTATGCATCCTGATTCCTCTTCTAGAGAACTCAGTTGGGGGTAGCAGGGAAGTATGGGGAAAGCTTTTACAAGGGACAAGTAAATTCTACTTTAAAAAGTCGAATTTATAGAATTTATTCTATTCATGTTAGAGTCAATGGAAATTACAGTGCTAGGCAAGGTTTTCTACTTTAAAAAGTAGAATTTAAGTTATAATAAAAAGTAGAATTTAAATAACGCATAAATTGAACATATTCAATATTTGTTTTGTTCAACTTGATTGTTTGGGATCTTGTTTTGTTGTTTGGTTTTTTTTTCCTCAACAAGTACTTTTGAAAATATTATATTACCATTTACATTGAAGTAATCTAAAAAAAAAATAAATGAAATAAAACATGGCCTGTTTTCTACTGTAGCACTGATAGCAACCATTTCTCCTAAGAGGCAAAAAGAAATACAAATGAAAGTGAGAAGAAAAAAAAAAAAAAGGAGGGGGGGAACCCCCGACCTTTGTAGTTGTATCTCTCTTAATTGATCTTTTATGTTCCAATTTAAATCAGCCTTGTTTTTCTAGCCATTATATTAGCCAATACATCCTGCTTTAGATCATTTATTTTACTTTCTATATTTTTAAAGAGCTATCTAGGGGTATCTCCCATTCAAGGAGCTTGAGTCAGTGAAACTAACAAATAGAACATTATTATAGAAAAATGAGAGCGCTGAGAAATCAGCAACTGGAAGATACCTCTGTAACTAATAAATGAAAAGAGCCTTTTGATGGCTCCAGCTGAAAAGATATTTTATTTTATTTTTTTCTCCTGTGTGTGGGATTTGAGATGTGTGATTCTATGGAGCAGCCAGGCACCCCTGCTGCTAGGCCTGGCTAGGAGTTGGCCCCCCTCTGGCAAATGTTATGGAGAATTGGGAGGAATTTTATGGCTGTCTTTTCCCTCAGCTCTTTTTTCTTTTGTCTTCTTTGAAGAATGACTTTAGACATTTTATTTACATATTTAACCATGGATGAAAGAGGAAAAAGAAAGCATTTGGGCCGTTGTGGGAATAGTGATATGTTTAAATTAATGGAAATCTTATTAGGCTTCTAAAATTTTAAGCAAAAGATTTTTAATGAAACTTTATAATTAAACATGATTTCAAATAATGTGCCAACTCACAGGAAAGATGCATTTCTCCCTCTAGCTATCCATCTCCCCACCTCCCAAAAATGTGCAGAGGAATCATCTGTATCTTAAAGTCCAGCTCTTCTTCTGTCCCATAAGCAAAAGATTAAAAAACCTGACTACTTAATAAGGCATGTCATAATTCAAACCATAACTAAATATTTTGTAGGTAAAGCAAACCATAAACATGACAACAAAAAAGACACTACCACCCCTCATCCCTGCAATGGCAAAGTTTAATGCTATGTAATCCATTGCAGTGACAGTGTAATAAAATACTTTGATATGGGTAATGGTGAAAATCAAAGTTGCATCTATTCTATACATGTTAGAGTCAATGGAAATTACAGTGCTAGGCAAGGTTTTCCGAAATGGGATTAAAGAAAACCCAAATAATCCATTTGAGATAAAATGTTGCGACACTTCAGCAGTAAAGAGAAATGAAATGATAGGCTTGGGGAGTTGAAGAGTTAATTAATACATTAAAGATTTTTAGTAAACCAGTCTGAATTACTTGTGATTAACAATACTGTGTTATGACAGAACACGAACTGATGTTGACAATCTTACGTTTAAGAAGTCTGTAGCTATAACTGTTTTTCAGGTTTAATATTTTTGGCCAGCTGTATTACACGAAAAATATAGATCAGTTTAATGTTAGTCCCATTCAGTAATCCTGTCTGCATCTGTATTTGTATTCATTCATTCAGACACTGTTTAACTGCTTACATCTGATACATGTTTCATTCTGGTAACAAATTCTGACATATATATTTTAAAAAAATGTTAGCTATGCAGAAGGTAGCAACTGTAAAAGAAAAAGATCACACACAGAAAAAAAGAAAGCTGATAACTATTTTAGCAATTTTATAAGCCTGTTTTTCTTACTGAATTTCCCCGAGATATTCATAAAATGAAACAGCATGCAGAAAAATGTCTACTTTTTAAACCAAATGAGCTTATTTTTTCCTAGCCACAGAATCTTTGTAGCAGTTTTCCTCCAATATTTAAATAAACATGTCTGCCTAATAGGACAGGCATACTGAGAAATATTCCCATGCAAGTGCGAATATTCACAATGCACAAAAGTTTTAATTACCTTAGAAAGCCACCACCACCAACAGTTAAAAGAATTAAAAACAAAAACAAATCATAAATGGATGAGTGGGTTGTATAGTATTGCTCTAATACAATTTAGCTGGCTATTTTAAGGGCACTTCCCTTGAAATGTGGTTTGAAATATTACCAAAGGTTCGACGGGGTGCATTAGTGTGAATTGCAAATCAGAACATTTCTTTAATCCCCTTTTCATGGCCTGGCTTCGGATCAGTGGCATCTAAGGGACTCCCCACTGATTCTGGCTCAGGAGGAACCATTCACTGGGGCAGCTTCCCTCCTCTATTCCCACAGTCCAGAAAACAACACCACAGACAGACACCCTCCAACTAAATTAGATTAAACTCCTTCTCTTCCACAGCACATTAGCCTTTTCACTGCCCAAGATTCATTATTCAGCTACTCCTAATTTAAAGATACAGTATTTTTCTCCTCTTAGAAACAAAAACAACA